AGTCATTGAATTGGCCAAATTCACTTCTGACTTCACATACTCTATGGAAATAATTCCATCTCTGAGCAATTGTCTCACAATATTGTGTCTCAAATTTAAGTGACGTCTCTTCGGATTATATGATTTATTCTTGGCATTGTAAATTTTTTATTGACAATCACAGTGTACAAGCACAGGAGGCAATGCATACTTTCTCAAAGGGATATCGGTTAAGAAATTTCTTAACCACTCAGCCTCCGAACCAGCAATCTCCAGAGCTATAAACTCTGACTCCGTAGTGGACCTAGCAATTAAAGTTTGCTTGGCTGATCTCCACGTTATTGCACCACCACCAAAGGTAAATACATAACCACTAGTGAATTTTGTTTCATTTGAATCAGAGATCCAATTAGCATCGCTGTAACCCTTAATAACAGCGGGAAATCCATTATATAGGATACCATAATTAATGGTTCCTCTCAAATATTTCATCAATCTCTCTATTGCAGACCAATGTTCACGGTTGGGATTGTGAGTATATCGACTCAGCCTACATACAACATAAGCTATATCAGGTCTCGAGAATTTCATCAAGTGCATCAGACTCCCAATAATTTGAGTATACCTAGGCTGACCAACTGGGTCACCATGATTCTTTCTCAAGTGAATGCTAGAGTCACAGGGAGTACTCACAGGTGTAATCTCAAAATAATTAAACTTCTTAAGAAGTCTCTCAACATAGTGTTTCTGTGACAACATAATACCACCATCCTTTCTAATGACTTTAACACCCAAAATCATATTTGCTTCACCCAAATCTTTCATATCAAAGTTAGAAGATGAGAAACATTTAATACTATTCAGAATTTCTAAACTAGTACCAAATATATGCATGTCATCAACATATAAAAAAAAATCACACAGTTACTATTAACTACTTTAGTATATACACATTTATCCATTTCCATAGATAAAAATCCGTCTCTCAGTAAGACTTGATCAAATTTCTCATGCCACTATTTCGGAGCTTGTTTAAGACCATATAAAGATTTAACTAATTTACAAACTTTATTTTCTTGTCCTACGATGACACATCCCCCAGGTTGTAAAATATAAATTTCTTCATCTAAATCACTATTTAAAAATGTAGTTTTCACATCCATTTGATGAATAAAAATTTTATGGATAGAAGCTAAAGCATAAAACTTGAATTGAAGAAATTCTAGTTACAGGTGCAAAAGTATCAAAATAGTCAATGTTTTATTTTCGAGAAAAACCTTTTGCAACTAAACGAGCTTTATAGTTATCAATGGATCCATTAGGTTTAAGTTTTCTTTTAAAAATCCATTTACAACCTATAGATTTTGCACCAGGAAGTAAATCTACCAAAATCCAAGTTTTATTTTTCATGATAGAATCAATTTCACTTTTAATTGCTTCTTTCCAAAATTTTGAATCAAAAGAAGAAATAGCATCAGAAAATATTACAGGATCGCTGTCAACAAGAAAAGTTTGAAAATCACTTCCAAAAGAAAATTCTTTTCTCGGCCTTGTGCTCCGTCTCAATTCCTCAATAGAATCGACTTCTCTATTTCTTTCAACAGGTGCATGAGAAACTTTATCAGATAGTGGAAAAATATGTTCAAAGAAATTAGCATTCTTAGTCTCAATAATTGTATTAACATCTAACACATCACTTTTCAAAACAAGAAATTTATATGCAGCACTATGTTCAGCATAACCAATAAACATACAATCAGAAGTTTTTTAACCAATTTTTTTCTTTTTAGGTTCAGGCAACATTACTTTAGCAAGACTCCCCCACACTTTCAAATATTTCAAATTAGGTTTATAACATTTCCACAATTCATAAGGTGTTCTGCCAGTTCTTTTATGAGGAATTCTATTTTGTAAATGACATGCAGATAAAATAGCTTCATCCCACAAATTATCAGGTGCATGAGAACTAACTAACATAGAATTCATCATTTCTTTTAAAGTTCTATTTTTTCTTGCAGCTACTCCATTTGACTCAGGAGAATAAGGAGGTGTAGTTTCATGAATTATACCTTCATTTTCACAGAAAACATTTAGAGATAAAAATTCGCCACCTCTATCAAACCTGATTCTTTTGATTTTCTTATTTAGCTAATTTTCCACTTCAGATTTGTAAGACAAAAGCATTGAAAGCATCATCTTTATTTCTCAGTAAATAAAGTTTAGTATACCTTGAAAAATCATCAATAAAAGTCACATAATATCTTTTACCACCTCCATTCATGGTTTGTTTTAAATCACCTAAGTCAGCATGAATCAAACTCAACAATTCAGTTTCTCTATCAATAGACTTACAAGGTTGTTTTGTTATTTTTGTTTCAACACATATTTCACATTTAGCCACATTATTATAGTTAATGTCGGAAATCAAATCAAGAGATTGCATTCTCTTTATATCACGAATACTAGCATGTCCTAGTCTAGCATGCCATAAAGAGAAAGAGTCAACAATGTAACCAGAAGTGGATACATTCTCATTGATGACACTAGAAACACTGAGTATAAACAGACCCTGATTACAGTAACCTTTACCCACAAAGACATTATTTTTAGTCATAACGATTTGATCAGACTCAAGCGACACTTTGACACCAACTTTACCTAGCAAGCCGACAGAAACCAAATTGGCTCTTATTGTAGGGACATGTAGCACATCATTAAGGGCCAAGGTTTTTCCCGAGGTAAGTCTCAGGATCACTTTGCCTTTACCTACAACCTTAGTGGTCCGTGAGTCTCTAAGATAGACAATCTCTTTTCCATCCCCCACAGTAGTGTAGGAGGTAAATACTTCTCGATTTGCACATATGTGCCGAGTAGCGCAAGAGTCCATCACCCATTCATTTACATTTGCAGCAATGTATGCCTGAGAAATAACCGCAGCGATGATATCATCTCCTTCAGCTAGATTAGCCTTAGGAGGAGTTCCTTGATCATTGTTATTTCTCACTCTATTCATGCACTGTGCAGCATGATGATTTGGTTTTCCACAAACAAAACAATTCCCTTTCTTTTTTCTTAAAATTGGGATTACCATTTATATTCAAGGGTTTGTTTTCATACCCATGTTTATCATTCTTACCTTTCTTACCTTGAACACAGTTAGCTTTCTGAGCCATCTCCTTGACTTGGCAGTATTGGTTGCCTTTTGGTTGTTATCTTCAACCAAGATATGAGTGATGAGTTCGTCAAGAGTGAAGGTTTTGTGCTTGTGTTTCAGGCTATTTTTGTAATCATTCCATGAGTCGGGTAACTTTTCAATCAACACCCCCGTAGCAAACTTCACCGGAAGTACAATCTCTTCAGCTTTCAAATCTTCAAGTAATTTTTGGTACTCATTAGTTTGGTCCTTCATCTCCTTTTCTTCAGACATGTGCCACTTGTAGAATTTGCCCATCACAAACTTTTACTTTGTTATGTTTTCCGCTGTGTATTTTTTGATCAGCGCTTCCCAAATTATCTTTGTATCCTTGTAGTTGCAATAAACGTCAAACAGCTCATCAGAAATAGTTTGCAAGATAGTGTGGCGACAATCTTGTTTGCATATTGTCATAGTTCAAGTGTTTTAGCATTAACTGTTACATCAGGTTGTGGATCAACTAGAGCGTGGGCAATTCCATGAATGTCAAGTAGAGAGTGAATGCGATATTGCCATCTTTTGAAGTTTTTATTGGCAAAGACCTCAATTTTTGAAACATTAGGAAAGTGCTTGGCAAAAGGTAGTGCCATTAGAATAGTGGTTGAGATTGGCACCGTCATTGTTGGACTTTGGGATGCTTGGGCAGCAATAGCACCAGCACTAACATCGTCAGTTGGGATAGCATTGTTGGAAGCCATAGTTTCTTTAGATTGCTGAGGAATGCTCCAAAATGCTATATAAATAAAATGCTTGAGTCACGCAAAATTGCATTTTTCTAAAGAAACTATTTCGGCGTAATGAAATGTTCCCCCAAGATAAAAATAGCCTTCCTCTTTTTGAGTTTAGAGGACACAGGAACTAACAAATTTATAGATCCAATACTTAAGTGAGATTGAAAGAAGAAGGAAAAGACTCAAGAAAAACTTGCTTAAGGGATGATTTTGAAAGACAAAATAGTGGTAGTATTTATAGGCTTGAAAACTAATGCTCTAAGTGTTGTCCGGCACTTATCCTTTCAACTCATAACTTTTCCATTAACTCATACAAGATAAATGTTCTTAATTAAGATGAGTAATATTAACCTTTACTAGAGAAGATTAGGTAGTTATGAAATCTGACTTAATGCACTAACTCTTTTATGAACTAATATTGAAACATGCACTAACTCCTTTATGAACTAATATTGAAACATCCAACTCAGACTCATTGAAGAAAAGTAATTTTAACATTCACACGGTATAAAAGAGTTTGTAGTAATTAAAGTCATCTTTTGAAATAAATTTAGTTAAAAACGCCAACACGATTAACCCGGGTAAGTTCATACTCCAGAGAAGGACTCCTTGCTGTTCCTCCTGACAGACCATACAAGTAAAGTGTGGGTCAACAGGAATGCCCGTAATAATCATCACACTATTATCGTCTTCCCATCTGGAAGAATCCCCAGCACAGTAAGATAAACCTGTCCCATTTTTTATAAATGATACGGCTCAATGTGAAAGGAAGAGACAAAATTTTCCCTTTAATTTTTTCCTTAAAAGAAAATTAAAGTTGTAAGGACGTGAAACTTCAAACAGTTCTTTGCACTCTAAATTAAGTGCTTCGTTCAAGGCTTCACGCAATCTACTAACAAAATGTATATAGTAATCGATTAGGGTCGGTTGTTTTGGTACACTTCTGAAGAATAAACTCAAAGAAAGAAACGCAAAAGAATTAATTGAATCCTTCCTCCTCTGAAGGTATACACCGGCAAAGAAATTTTGTGCATCAAGAGGCTCAAAGATAAATCATCAAGTAATTAAAAGGACCTACATTAACACAAAAAAATACACTAATCATCACCACCAAAGTAAGTGCTCAAGTGTTGTTGCCAAAACCTTGTCATTCTCAAACTTTTCTCCTCAGTCCTCACCATTATCACCGGCATCCTGATTTATAAGTTAAGCTAACTATTTCCGTTTCTTTTTTTTTTTTCCGCTCATCATCAAATTCTTTTGGTTCCCCTGTCGCTGAGCTGACTTATCACCCTTCTTCTCATCCTCAAAATCATTATCATCAACTCCAGAGGCCGTCTTTTGCTTCTTCTTTCTCTTATTTTTCACCTCCAAAATCGTCCTATTATCATCAGTTCTCATCAAACGGGCTAAGGAGATGATATTCTCCTCGAAATACGACCAGCCTCGAAAGTTTTCAATGTAGTGTTGATCGCAACCCTCTCGATGAACCCGAGTCGTAGGCTGATCACACTCCAGAGTAGTAGTCCTCCTGTTCCTAACAGACGGAACAAGTAAAGTGTCGAAGAATTCCCCTAATAATCATAAACTATCATAGTCTTTCCATCTGAAAGAATCCCCAGCACACTAGGATTCACACACATGTAGGTTGGCATAAAAAATTCTGGTTCTCGTGGCCCTCCTACCACTCGAAATGCTCGTCGTTCTCGCACATATCGCATCCGTAATAGCATTGGTAGCTCGTCTAGCCAAGTTCCACATCCATTATTTGTTGTATTAAGGTAACGACGTAGAATCTTGGTATCAAAATGTGTTGATTTACTCGTCGCGACTAAATTTGGTCCGAAATTCACCAGATGCAACTCATATGACGTCTCTGAAGGGAATACTTCTCGGGGTACAGGATCAATGTGAATAAACCTCTCCTTAGTCAGATCAAATGCCGTAATTCTACAACTATTCTGCTCCCAGCAAAGAATTCCACCCAACCATTTACTTGGAGGCTTTATCATTTGTTCACTGGCATCTAAGATTCTCCAAGCAGAGTCCACCCCGACAGTGAGAATGGCCACATCATAACCACAACATGTCTTGAGTAACTTATACCGTTTGTTGATGAGGTCGAAACCCAAGTGATAAGAATACTTCCTTATGCCATTTCCGTCTTCACCGGGAGGCGGCGGCGAATCGGGAAGTTTTAACATCTCCGGGGTCGCAATGTTGTAGAGCCACGACTTCTTCTTATGATACAAGCACAGTAAACCGTTGACAACGTTTGATGTTTTTTTCGTTTTGTGGTTGTGATCGGGTTCAAGGGTATGGTGATGAAGAATTTCATGCTTGCCAGTGATGCGACAACCGTCAAGGGGGAGGTACAGTACGCGTGTAGATGAGGTTTTCGGATCGGTTTCAATAGACACAAGACCCGCGGAACTGCCGCCACGGTAGGCGCGGGTGAAATTTGGGTCGGTGATGATTGATAACCAAGTTTTGGACACACACTTAGAATCGCATCAATATCCTCGATGGAAGTCTTCCCAAAATTTCTTGAACCAAATCGTTTGGTATTGTCATCGTGTTCACAGGGCCCGGCTGGACGAAAAACCCTTCCCTGGAAAAACAATGACAATCTCTCTTGAGGAATCCTTTTTGTGTGATTATATATATGCTGGATAAAAAATATTTGGGTTTAACAATAAGTTTATATTTACAAAAAATATTCGAAAATCAGAATCCATCTTGTATTTGTTGTACTACAACTTTAGTCAAACAAAATAGTGGTCTAGGCTCTATAGCACCCAACTTTATTTTCAACTCTGAAGCGAGTTATGTATTTGGGACTAACGCTAGAATAGTCAATAGTCTATGGGATTAGGTTATGTAGATTGAGCATATATATCCAGAAAGTAATTTTATTGCGAATTATTTGGCATTATTGATGACTCATGGCCTAGGAGGTCTGCAGTGGCACGAAGCACCGCTATTGGGTGTTAGGTCATGATAATATATCCTAGAAATGTGTTCGTTAGGCATTAGCTTCTTTCGTTGTAACAAAAAAAAACAAAAACCGTAATTTTCAACTCTGAAGCAGTGATTCTTGAAGTATACGATTCAGAATGACACAGTAGGCAAAATGACCAAAACTTTGGCGGGGAAAATCCCGTGATGTTTCTAGCTAATTCATATTAAATCTTTTTAAGGGATTAAAGAAAGCAGGTGAGAAGAATACGGTTCTTTGAATTTCCAATGAGACTAAGTGAAAAATGAAAATGTATATAGCAATTGACTAAGAGTAAATTGTTTAGTACAGTGCTGAAGAGTAAATCCAAAGAATGAAACACACAAGAAAACTTATAGAATTAATCTTCACCGAAAGATTAATCGTCATCTTCATCAGATAACAATTATACTACTATTTCACTGAAAAAAAAAAAACAATAATTTCAGATAACAATTATACTACTATTTCAATTGTATAGCTTAGGTAGGTGTCTGATCAAGTCAATCAAGTTATAATTCACAATCCTTTATAGTACTACATATTATATAGACAAAAGTAAACATAAAGGGAGTTGGGAGTAAATTCAACATCCTTCTTCATACTAGGTTACTAACTAATCATACTAATAAATAATCAAAGGCAAAACAAAATTGAAAATCTTGGTCATCATCAGACATATCTAAATCATTGGCAACTCGAAAAAAAAAAGAAGAAAAGAAATAATAATACTAATAAATTTAGACTCAGGAAGTCAAACGAGCAAGTGAGATGATATTCTCCTCCAAAAAGACCTAGCCAGGCCAAGCACCATATATGGTGAGGGTATAGAACGAAATTGATGGAACTCTTTTCCAATTCCATTGATGAAATATACCTTTCAGTCAGAGTGTTAGAGGGTTGATTAGAAAGATTTAGAATTCAAGAAATTGTGCCGGGGAGGAGAATGAATGATGATGAGCTAGCCTCTTCTCCTTCCTCCTCCGGGTTCCGCCAAATTATGTGATGATCATCAGCGTTCGGATCTCAGCTTCGAAATCGAGTTTGGGAACATCACCGTGAAAGGAAAAAAGTATTGGAGGAGAGTATGGTTGTGAATTCAAGTTAGTAAGTTTATTAATTTAGAGAAATTGTGAAGGCAATTGAAGATAAATGTTGGAAGGTTTCTTTTTTACCAAAAACATGATTCCTCAAGTGTTAAATTTGGGGTTGGATTTTTCCAGCCACCCAAATTAGTACTTGAATCCACCAATTTTGAAAAATTTTCTTTTTGCTCCTGCCACTCGGACTGAATCGGACAAGTCATTCGGTCCGATTCACGTGAGAACGGACAAATTATTAATTTTTATTTTAATGTTAGTTTATTCGCAGTATCACTATATGTTAAAGCCACCACCTTTATTACTTGAAACCACATATTTTAAAATTGGATCATTTTACCCCAATAATTTTTTCAAATCAATAATTTGACTAGAAAGAAAATAAAAAAAATTTGAAAATTTAAAAAAAAAAAATTACCGGGGACGGGCAAAGATTATGTGACTTGGGTAATTATTTGTTTAGGTAATTATTAATTTATGAAAATGTGGGATCTATATACGGACGAGTGGATTGCTCCACCATTCCCCTGAAGAATTCCGTTATTCTCCCCAGCCATGGAAGAATCTCTGCAACCCATTTCTTCTTCTTCTTCTTCTTCTTCTTCCAAAGCAAGAAATGTCTGGCACGTCGGGTGAAAAATCGTTCAGAACCTTCCCTGATGAACTCATAATCGAGAGCCTCACTTGGCTTCCAGCCAAAACCCTCCTTCGATTCCGCTGTGTCTCCAAATCATGGCGTTCCGCGATTTTAACTCCAAAATTCATCAAAGCCCACCTCAGGAATTCTTGCAAGAGGGATGATTATGCTCACCATCGGGTTATCTTTCGGTGTGGGACGTCGTATGGTGAAACCAAGGTGCTCAATGACGACATTAGGTATTTTCCACTCGCCCCTGCCTTGTTTGGTGATGTCAATACTCCTATTGAGTCAACCCCAGTGGAGGATCCTGTTATGAATAGCAGTGAGGGTCGTATTGTGGGTTCTTCAAATGGTATCGTTTGTGTTTGTGTGAGAAATGATGTATTTTTCTGGAACCCTGCGATTGGTAAGTTTAAGAAATTGCCTCAATTTCGTACTTTATCAAGGAAATGGGAGCTGTGTCGAGTTATGTTTGAGTACAACGAGGTTGATGATGATTATCAAGTGTGTATTGTTGATTTTGGGGAGAAATGGATTGCTTTGTATAGTGGAAACACCAACTCTTGGAGGGAGATTCAGGGGTTTGTCACTGAATCGGGTCCATGTTATTTTTTTGTGCGTGGGAAGCTATATTGGGAGAAGGTACTAGTAGAAAAAGGATAGACATTTATTACTTTGACTTGAAGACTGAAACTTACGGAATGATGGAACGGCCTGATTATGGTAAGGGCCTTTTTGATTTGCAGGCCGGTGTTTTCCAAGGTGATCTGGTTGTCTGTTGTTTTCATCGGACAAGCCATATTGATATGTGGTTATGGAAGGAACCGGGGTTGAGGCAATTTTGTACCAAAGTGCTTTTAGTCCCTAAGTTGAAGGATCCCAGCCGTAAGAAGTTTTGCGTGCCAATTTTCATGTCCAAGGATGGGAAAATTCTATTAAGTACTGGAAGGTCTTGGCTCATTCTGACCCAATGATGAAATCTGTGACATAACCTCGTGTTAAATCAATGGGAGAACCTTTGCAAACTGTGGTGGTTGTTGAGAGTCTGGTATTGATGAATGATCATGATGCTAAAGGACCAGAGAAGGATACTGATACGTCTGTTATCGACATGATTCGGCACCTTGTTCCCCATCTCCATCTAGTATAGGTAATAGGATTTAATCATCTCTGCTGCATTTGTTCTTCAATTGTTATTGAAACTTGGTCTCATTTAAAGATGTTAAATATGTGCAGTACTTTTAGTGGATATTTCCATTTTCCTCATAGTTATAGTGTGCTGGTTCTTATGCTAGCATCCCAAGTAATTGCTTATTTTTATGCTTTTCTATCTTAAGATTTACCTCGGAGGAAGAGCAATAATAGTAAGGATCCCAATTTTTTATGCCTCCCATTTTTGTTCCAAGTTGTCTTGATATTGAATGGTACGCTTTCTCATAGAATATCTGCCAAGACTTCTCTTTATTGGTAGCTTCCAAGTAATTCTTTTGATTGATCGCATTTAGGACAACATAACTGGTTTTTAAAGTCAACTTACTTTGTTGTGCTTTGGAGATTGGCTTTTGCATAATCGGGCCACTCTTTTAGGGGCTGAAAATTATATTGCTTATTTACATATCCTAGCTTCCTGTAAATTCATAAGTTTTTAGATGCACAAAATTTTTGGAATGCGAGTTTGGTGAGATGGAACCTGATGTGATACTTGAGTTTAGATTGAAAGAAATTATTAGAGTCTTGAGAATTTTCTCGCCACACCTCCATTGTAGAAATTGTCTTACATTTGACAACTTGATGCTCACTGCATTTCAGTGGTTACTCTTCAGCTGGTCAGAATCTAATCCAGTTGCTCCTGTGTCCTGCTACATTTGCATGTGAATTATTTGCTCTGTGCTAAGGTAATGTTCAAAAGGACCAATGTTGTGGACTTCAGTGTAGTTCCCTTTTTCCTGTCCATTGTTGTGGTTATTTACCACGCTTTGGTAGGTCAATACTCAGTCTGGTTAGTTTTAGTGCACCGTTGTCATGATCTGGCTTTGATTGGCTGGGCTTCCTTTGAATTTGTATTTTCTGAAGTTTGCAAGAGTAGTATCTTCTTGTGTTTGTGCTATGGCCTAATTTTGTGGACGTTAGGAGTATGCTAAATTTTCCAGACTCTTCGAAAAGAAGCACATCATATAATCAGGTCTGATTGTTTGGTTTTCTGGTATCTTGTCAATCTACCTTTTGTATGATTAGCGCAAAGTAGCTCACCGTTTACCTTAATCCCGAATCTTCAATAATATGAATAATGAATTAGGATCTCGAAGAGATAGCACCAGTGAAAATGTGGCAAAGATTTTTGTTGAGGTAGCTTTGGCCGAAAATAAACCTGATTCCTAGAGAACCGAAAGTTTGAAACAGATTAAGATTTAAGCCATGGCCATGACGTTCAGATTTACTCTAACGTATTTGAATCATCAAAAGCTTGGGGAGAGTGGCGATGGGATTATTATGGTGGTCTACATAAATGAAAATCTCATAACAAAGCAGTTATGTGCCTTGTTCTTCAGTTCTGGCAAGGTGAATCGAAAGGCTTTATCCGATGAGAAAATCATCTCTTCCTCTGATACACAGTTGCATCACCACATTTAATGATCCTAAAGAATGGAAATCATACACCTTCAATTATTGCGTATATGAACAGAGGAAGCAAACAAACAGTGCAGATGAACTCGGTTTCAAAATCCCTGCAAAGGATCGTGATGCGTAACTCTAGTTTCTCTAAGTGCCGGCGAAATCAACTTCCACACTGCAAAAAAAAATGAAATAAGTTAGTTCTGTGATAACGCGCAAAAATTTCTGTACTTTCGAACTCAATGCTGCTCTTTCAAGACATCATATTTTCAGAAAGAGAATGGGATAATTATGATGAAGTCAAGTTTTAAGCAGGAAAGGGAACTCACAGTATATTGTGGCTGCAAACCATTCATTGACAACCTTGACCCAAGTACTAGACCAGCCAACATCAATGCTCCACCTAGAGTTTTTTGAAGCGATTTTTAATACAAACGGATGAAAAGCAAAACGGACACATGATATGAATTGCGTTGTTGCAGGTAGGAGAATTGATTAGCGCTTACTTTCTTGTCAAGCTGTCAAGATTCCAGCTGATGAATAGCATTGCAAAGTACATAGCCCCCAAGGAAAATACCAAGTGGAAGAACCCATACTTGTATGGAATATCATCCTCCAACTGAACTTCATTTTTCCGAAACTGGATGAATTCATAAACAGAAACTGTAATTAGTCCAATCAGAAAGCACGTAAAATCTGTGTTGTAAATTTGTACTGCAGTAGTCATGGTTGCCTTTAGATTTACTCAAATCTTGCATGAATTAAGGTGATCAACACCATGATGAAAAGGTAGTCATCTTCAACATTTCATTTTACAGATATCTGGTTGAGTGCCTAGTTAAGGGCCTATATTCACTTCACCTGAAATGTTTGTGAATCGATTCCTGTGGAAAAAGTTGCCATGACAATAGCACAAATGGCAATAAGAAATCCCTGGAAATAACAAAAAGGAAACATGAAGAAACAATACAGAAACTTGGATTAGAAGTGAATGAAATAATCTCTCGACTCTTACAATTACTGTTGTCCAACCCCCATGTCCGCTCTCTTGGGTCTGAGGGCTGCATTTTGCTGTTGCAGGTTCACTACAAGAACATCAAGACCACGAAATAGCTCAGAAAGGGCATTTTAGTTTTCGTGCTGTTTTTATCTGATTTGAGTTCATGATCCAGTCTAATGCATTGGATTCATTACCTTCTAATAGCACTCCAACAAAGGAAAACGATGTAAGAAGCCATAATACCAGAAGATAACAGTCCTCTATTCACCTGTCTTGATCATCCAAACCATTATTCATCAGAAACATGTTTCTGAATTGCCACAATGTTAGGGAAAGAATAGATCTGAATTTTTTGAAGCTTGTTTAAGATTTACCTTTGAATGTAAGGATATAACCATCATAACTGCCAGCAATACTCCAGTCCAGGAGATGAAGAATATGTTGAGAGCACAGGACGGTTTTGAGGCATAGAGCACATACATCAAAACAATGCCGAAGACTGATGCAATGTAAAATATTGTTGACATGAATAGCCCAAGAGAGCAGCTGCAAATAATCATTAAAGTGAAAATGTAACAGTATTATAGTGCAAAATTTATCTGTTAAGAAAGAAATGAACAGCATCAACGGTTCCTTTCATGCAGAAAATTGCAGTTGATTACAAAACAAAAAAAAAAAACCAAAAAAAAAAATGCGGTCACTGTGCATTCATGTATCCAGTACAAAACTACAGACCTGCGATGCTTCTTATCTTCCGGCATCCAGTAGTTATTCCACCATGTAATGAACTCAATGACACTTATGAGCTGGAGAACAAGAAACACACTGTACCATGACAAATGAAAGAGTATTGATAAACCATATAGATTGGAGTAGGCCATGTGAAATCTCGAGAGATTAAGAGATGAAATAACTGAGAAAATAAATCATATCTAAATCAAAAGGGCTTCTTAAAAATTGACTATAAGTAATATTTTGGTTTGCAAACAAAAGGTTTGAAGATTACCCTGCACCAATGCGCGCGATTTCACCTGCGAAGGGGAAGAATTAAAGTTGGTTTTCAGCTGAGTGAAGAAGTGAGGACTCAGGACATGAAAAGTAAGTTCCGAGGTAAACTGAAGTTCAAAGCAGATCCTTCTTGTTGGGGTATATAGTTCTGAGGTGCATAGTCTTTCATAACAAAACAACCACAAAAAGATGAGAACTCATCACTCATGTAAGAGATCTTGAATCTCGCGAGTTGGTCGGTAGGCTTACCGTATATTTGAACATAATCAGAAGGGATGAAGAATGGAATGACCACTGAGATGATCAGTATAACACACTTCAGAATCCACCATCCAGAATGCCATTTGTTGCGGGCTTCATATACTTTGCTTGTATTTAATGTTGTAAGAAACAATGTAAAGAAGAATATCTGAACATCTTGGGTCAAGGGATTACTCCATTCATGATGTGAAATTCAAAGGAAAAGTTTTTTTTTTTTTTTGCAACCTTTCACCATGAAGAACAGGAATAAAGCTGCAAAATGTTGGCATAATGAACACTGGTAAAATTTTCAAAGAGAAAGATACAAAGCATCCTAAACTCACACGAAGAACTCCCAACACATGAAAACAACCAGTATGTCCAGCTCTACAAGCTTTTGAATCTGCCAGAAAGAGAAAAGCGAAAATTCCACTGAGTAAGAAAGTATGACACAATGACATTCACAACTAGCACTTTATCCCACTATATGACCGCATGAAGAGATGAAAAAGTTGGGAAAAAAATTACTCCTAAATGGGATGGAATGTAATGCATCAGATAACAGTAACGAGCACTTGAAATTCAAAATAAAACCTGCGGCGCACAGATAAAAAAGAAAGCAAACATTCGAGAATCGGCTATATTCCTTCATGTCCTTGTTTTGAGTTTAAAGGTCTGAATGAAATGGACAATGCTGACAATGTAAACGTATACAATGTTCTCGACTTACACTGTAGTAGAGGGAGAATTTTGTCTCCATAGTCACGAAAGAACCAAGCTATAAGATTCATAATCAAGAAAATCGTGCCATAAGCATAACGAGCTCGCAGAGATTTCTTCTTGTAAACCAAATTTTCATAACTTTTCTGTTCCAATGCTCCTGATTTTTGTCCCGGAAGAACAGCCACATTGTCATTCAGTTGAACTTCCACCACTGCAACCTCAGCTGGCACTGAAGACTCAACCATCCTACACATTCTAACCAGGCTACTAGCAGCAAATCTTCAGTAGCAGAATTCTGAGTAAATTTCTGGTGTGTTTAAGCAAGCATCATATGCTGTTGAGTAATGCCAGAGAATCGTGACCCGAGTATTCGAAATACAGTCCTCAACAGAATTTCCAAGTAGAATCCAACTTCATTAATGCTTTTTAGTCCCTAAGAGACAGTTGCAGTTAAGGATAATTAGTGCATTATGGATTTATAGATAGTTCATCTGATGGAAATCATCAATGTCAAGCAATTAAAGAAATCCCTTCAAAGAAAACTCATTTAGGAAGGAAAGGGACACGAACAACGTTTAGAATTGGTTAGTAATTGCAGACTTATCAAAAAGCTTGTTTGCTGCAGACATTATCAATAACTTTTTTAAGACTTAGGAAGAATTCAATGGCTCAAAACTTGAAAAGGGATTCTAGAATGACAGCTCTACTCATCTACTCTGATAATGCAGCAAGAAAAACCTTGTACTCAATGGCGGAAAGAGTGTCAAAATGATAGAACTCAAAAAGAAGGCATTTTTTTACCTTTATCAGCTTTGGATTTTGGAGGAGCGGGGGGAAAGAGTGTTTCAGAGACTTAAGAGTTACACTTCCTCAGCAGGAAGTGAGTGAAACACCTCACACTTAAGTAAAAAAAAAACAAAGATTTGTTTATGATCTTCTAGACAAATGGCCGAATACAAGAAACGCATGCTAACAACGCCCAAGTAGTCACATGCCGTATTAATCAATCAAGAGTCACTCTTTTTTTTTTAATACTAAATCTTGCAATCTCTGAACACCTTTTTCCAGAAACTATGATTGTTATGCACAAATTAATGTGTTTTTTCTGTCCCATTTTAATACTCCATTCTGTTGAACTAAAACGATACAACCATACTAAATAGGTGTTTTATTTTGATTGGCTTACTACACTAGCTAATCAAAAATCAACCCTTTTGGTTTTTCGCCCCAGAATGTAAATTGGAAATGGTTATTTTTTTTTTTGGTAAATAATTGGAAATGGTTTCTGAACAATGGATTGCCACTCAATCTGAACACAAAATGTGCCATCCAGGAAAACTGGGAGGATTTTTCTTCTTTTTCTTTTGTTTTGTCTAATTCTCTAACAAATGTAAAGCAAAAGGAAGGTATTTGCTTGTGATTGTCTGGAAAACAATGTACTTGTGCATCAGAACAAACACAAGAAGACATGGTTGGTTGGGCCAGGCAAGTTGACTAATTGCTCCAATATTAATTATTGTTTTCTTGATTAAAGTAGGCTCTTTTTTCACACGTTTAAGGGAATTTTACTTGACCGTTAGAGCTAAATCAGTAAATTGGGAGCTGTAATTGAAGCTTAAGTAACCATCAATCTTGTTAAAGAGTTTCTCACATGAGTTTATCTGTACCATTATTAATTTATAATCCATGGTGTCCCATAAATTATCTATTTTGTTGAACTATAATCGGTTCAAGAAATTAAAGAAATATAATCGCTTGAACTCGATTACCAATGCTAACATAAAGATGAAACTATTGGGATACAGCTTGACATGTCACTTGTTACATATAGGAACAAACTAAGGCGAAATTGTGTAAAAAGTTTTAGGTTCGAGTTTGAGTTCGAGTTCGAGTTCGAGTAGAGTGTCATATTTTTTTTATATATATTATGAGATTGAATTTGTTTGTTTGCATTTCAGAATGTTTTCATGCTGAGTTGTATCATGTGTGGTTAGGTGTCTTATGATTGGATTTAGGTGTGGTGTTTAGAGTGAGTTTTGTGGCAAAATAAGAAAACAAAACACTGGGGATGAAACAATGCCAAATGAAAGGCAAAAGTGGATTTGGTGAAGTGTTGGCAGGAAAATAATTAATCAAACGAATGAGGGATTCTCTCTCAATTCCTTCCACAAGATTTGGATGAAATCTTTGTAACTTGAAAAACATTTCTTGTAAGCAAGAACTATGGAACACTTCACATGATTTCTTTGTCAAATGGTCACATTTTAGACAACCTTGCAAGCTCTGAATTCATACTCTCTACTACATTTTTCAGAATTTTAAACTATAAATAAATAAACTAAGGCCATTTCCAGTAATCGTATAGCGACAATCTCTTATCTGGTAATTTATACTCACATATTAGCCTCCCAAAGAGAGTACTATAAGTTTATCATTGTAATAAAAACTTACTTGGGGGACAAATAAAAATCTCATTTTTTAAAATTATTGAAAAAATTATTACTTGAAAAGTTGGAACAAATCTAAGTTTGTGATTTTTATTTATTTTTTATTTTTTATTTTTTGCTCATATGAATCTCATTTTTGTGTGTGGGTGTGTGAAGAAATTACTCCCTTAAATTATTCAATTTAATTTGTTACCTCTTTCCAAAATTTTTCAAAATTTTGCCTAAAGAAAGGAAACATTATCAAAGCCCAATTATGAAACAAGAATTCCAAAAGCCCGCCAATAAACCGCAAAACTGAAGGCTGGTTTTTATGTAAAAATCCATCAATATTGAAGGCTAAATTCGTCATTTCACGTCCAAAATCCCCAATCGTTTATTAGGGTTCATATTTCAATCTCTCAATGGCGCCATAAATTTGGATTGTCTTACGAAAGAAACATCAGACCTTAAAAATGTCTTCTTCCATCGAAGAATTTCAAGACAGTAATTTTCCTCAAACCCATGTTCTGTTCTTGCTATGTTATTTTACGAATTCCTTCATTTTGCCTGTATGTATTTTTCGAAACTGTAAAGCTGATTTCTTGGGATTTTGTTTTTTTTTCCTTTCTTTCATGACAGATTTGTCTGCCTTGCCGACCATATTGCAGAAGAAGTATGCGCTGCTTCGGGATTTAGACAAAAGTCTACAAGGTCTGGTTTTCTAGTATACTTGATTATGCCCTATCGAGGGCGGTGTTTGTTTAAATATATTGAATTGAAATTCTATGAAATAATTATCTTTTGGTTATCTGAATTTGATTTATACCCGAACTGCATTATATCAGTCTAAAATTCCTTTGTTTTGTTTTCTCTTTTTCTAGTTGTGGGTTCGTTTGGTATAGCTGAAATTGAGGAATCTTATTCCCAAGTTCTCAAATTTGGGTATAGTTATAGTTGAATTTTAAAGGGTCTTTTAACATGGAAATTAGGCCAACTGACCTGGATTTGATGGGAATCGGATGAATTCATGAACACTGGTGTACTAGGTTATCATAAACTAGGATTTACGCCCTTTTCATGCAGAGTTTGTTTATGTGGCTTATGGTGTTGATTACCTTCATGCTTTTTTTGAGCCAAGCTAACTTGAGATTTAGTGAATTTGAGTTCTTTTGTCGAACTGCACTTTTAGTTTTAGAACATTAAGTTGCTTGACTATGGCCCACGTCAACGTCCAAGATTTATAATATTAGCTGATGTTGCTTGTTTTGTAGTTTCTTGAAAATTTGTAGGAATTTGTTTCCTGTTTCGGATTCTTCCTCTCTTCTTTTGAGTGTCATTTGAAGTAATTTTTTTAAATCTCCACATGAATGCAAATAGGAATTCAGCGGCAAAATGAGCAGCGCTGTCAACAGGAAATAGGAGAGCTGACGAAACGCATTAAGGATGGTGGCATAGCACCCAATTCTCCACTTCTCAAATTCTCAGATGAGGCACTTGATGAGCAAAAGCATGCTGTGAGAATTGCAGATGAAAAAGTTGCACTAGCTGTGCATGTCTATGACATGGTATAGATTATGACTTTCTGTCATTTTGGCTAATTTTGGAGTAGCTTCTTCTTGCAGGCTGTGTCACCTCTTTGCCCATCAGAACTATGGTAGAGCATGTCAATTTTTCCATAGTGTCTAGAACTACTATCTTCATCTGTAAATACAACATTTATGAAGCTATATGTGTTGGGTGGAGAGCAGAGCAAAGTGATCCTGGTTTATCATAATTGTGTTAGAACCTCTTGATTATGAAATAGTGTAGGAACACAAGGATATAGCCTGACAAAATTTAGGATTTTGTACTCTCTACCTGTATAGGTTTCATTAAATGGAGTTGGTCGAAGTAGAAATGTGCTTTTTGGGTCTCATTCTTGATTCTTGGTCCTTTTCCAAATAAAACTCGATATGGCAACTGTCTAATGTTTCAATAGTTTGCTCAGCACACTACTGCTGTCTCTGTGCATTTTGCCAAAAACCTCGGGTTAAAAGGTGTTAAGCTTTTGCCACATTTTGTTAGTTTATATAATTAGCTTTCCTTTCATACATGTTCCCAGGTTTTGGGAGTGTCAAAGTAATTTCATTGATTTGTCATTGTTGATCGGTTAGTTGAAAGTTTCTGTCATCTCTCCACATTAAAAGTCTGTTATTTGATCCTGTTGTTTTCTTTTTAGGTAGATGCACACATTCAACAACTCGATCAATATTTGAAAAAACTTGATGAAGAGATTCGTAATGGTATTGTGCCTTTTTCCAGTACTTTTTTCTCTTTCTGATCAAGGTGTACGTTAATCTGTGCTCTTGGTTTGGAAGCATGCATGCAATTTCATGCTCTCCCCGTATTTACTTTTCTTTTAACTGTGACAGAAAAGGATAATGCGGCTTCAACTGGACCTCCTAGTGCAACCCCTGATAACAGTGTGAAACCTGGGAAATCTGGTGAAAGTGGTAGAGGGCGTAAGAAGTAATGGTTTCTGTTATCCTTGCACCATCTCTTTATACCACATAAGTACCTAATGTATTGAGCTTAGGGTTTCTGATTTATGTGAATGGTATGAAGTATTGCATCGTCAATTACCACAACCTTATTTATTTATATCCTGAAGTAATTTTCATCTCGCTAAGTGTTAGATTTGATAGGAACACTGAAAGATCATTCGTACTCGATAAGGAAACTGCTTAGTACTGCTTTCCTGTTCTTTAATCTTGCCCTCTTGGTTTGTTGCTTTGTTTTTATTCACTCTCTATGGCTTTGATTTGGATCGCAATTGATGAAGGACATGTACTACGGAAATAATTAGGAAACTCTGTTTCAAGGGTATTATTAGTTTCTTTTATAAATCTAAGACTACAAGACTTAAAAATATAAGGTTTCTTTAGCAGCTGTTTCTCTTATTGAATTTGTTTATTGTGCAAGAAATTCATCAAAATGCTCTTTTCTTTTTGGGGTAAAAAACTGGGCTTTAATTACCTCTTTTGTGGTCATCTTGATTCTTGCAGTGTCAGTAATTTTATTCCCCATTGTGTTTATCGTGTAATCTGTTTGCAAATGGCTGCATGGTGGTCTGACAGCTTCATAGATAGTCAATGTTGATTTTTTCCCTTTCTATGTTTACTGGCACAAGTGTAAGGGAAATTGTCACTGTAAACATAGATAAGACTTGAGTGTTAGATGGGCAAAGTTTGAGAACTTTTAGTCCACGAGGCATTTTCATGGAAAGTGCAGTGTCTTGGATTGTCATGATATCTATATGCACTTGTTAGCTGTATTCAGAATAAGTAATTTTGTAAAGGTTACTAAAGCTAAAACAAATGCATTCTTCAAGATAGTAATTTGACTTTTAATCTGATGTAGAAAGTAAGAAAGGTACGATACTTAAGTGTACATTGGTGTTATGTGCATCACCTTCTCTTTTGTCTCAAAAGGTCTTTCTCAGTTGATCACCATGTTCCTGCTTTGTAAGAACATCTTCCAGTTTTGGTGTTTGAGACAAATGAAAATTTATATGCAGGACACGTCTTGCAACCGCAACAGCAGCTGCAGCAGCTGCCTCGTCAGCATCAACTGCAGCGGCTCCCACTGGTATGGACCTAGATTTACCTGTAGATCCAAATGAGCCGACATACTGCGTCTGCAATCAAGTTAGTTATGGTGAAATGGTTGCATGTGATCACCCTGGGGTAAGTAGATTATTTACGGTGCTCTGCATAGTATTGTCAAATAGGAGCTTGCTTTTTGATGTGTATCTGATGGAAGTGATTCTCTGAACAGTGCAAGATAGAGTGGTTCCATTTGGGCTGTGTTGGTCTCAGAGAACCTCCCAAGGGGAACTGGTACTGTTCTGATTGCGTTGGAACACAAAAGCGTCGAAAAAGCAAAACCTAGGGCTTGCTCCATCATCTCCCCTGTGATGGCATTAGCGCTGGAGAACAGCTTTTTGTGTATACTAATTTCATACAATCTTTTGATACTAGTTGTATGGTGAGATAATGTTCGGGTTTCTAAGGGTTAGCTGGTGACTTGTTGATATCAGGTGGCATGTGCTATTGTCTTGATAGGTTTTTGGGCAAAGACTGCACATAATTACATCAGCTTTTTATTTGCTTATTTTCGATTCTGATGGAATGTTATTGCAACGCTAAAAATAAAACACACACACACACACACACATTCAAGCATCAAATGAATTCCCCATCAATTCAACACATATGTCTAAATGAGAAACGAAGGACACAACACAGAAGAGACGAACAATCGTGCTTCTGTTGCAACTGCGCTCTTGATCTTTTGTAACTTTGGACACAGGGACATTCACTTCATCCTTTTCTTCAATGCCTCGTAAGCGAGGCCACACTGGCGCTTCTTCTCATCAATCAAATCGTACACCTGGCGGGGACTTATACGGCCGGCAGTGGCGCCAATGAACGCATAAGGATAAACGAAGAGGGCCCTGTCGATCGCACGCACCCAGACATCCGACATATCGCTTCTTAAATCCTTGAGAACGGGAAAGAAAAGTTTCTGCAACAATTGTTTTTGGCTCCGATGGATGAAGAACTGATGAAGAACTGCTTCTGTATGTGAACGTATATGTATATATGGGAGCAAAACAAAAACTTAATGCGAGGGGGACAAAGAGTTTGTTGGAAAAGGGAATTGTAGAAATTTGTGAGAGAATGGATGGTGTGCTGTGGTTAAATCATATTAATCAATTTTTTATATTTTTATTTGGGTATTATATTCATTTAAATAACAAAAATACTACCAAGTAATTTGATATTTAGGCAAGTTTTTCAAGCCCAGACAAAAAAGTTGTCTAAATATCAAATTATTTTCAAGCTCAGACAAAAAAAACATGTGACCTATCAAATTTCAACCCAGCAACTTTTCTTTTATTTTAGATTTTGGGCTAAACTAATTTTTTGGGCTTAAATTCTGGGGTTTCAAGAAAAAAAGAAGAAGTTGGGCTTAGTCTAAAATCTATAAAATAAGTTTTATAAAATAATTTAAGCCCATTGAGGTGTCGAGCATGAGTGATGGGGATTAGTCACTGTTGCCGACGGTGGTCACCTTGTAATATGCAAAAAAAAAAAAAAAAAATTATATAAATAATTAACTTCTGAAAAAGATTGAGACTAGCTAACCTAATAAATTATATGGTGCCATTTTCTTCTTATTAGGTATAATTCATATGGAGTATATCAGTATTTAATAAAAAATGCACGAAACCAAATTTAATGGAAATGTCATTAGGGAAAAAAAAGCGTGAAACCGAATTAAATAGGACAAAAAAATTTTCATGAAACCAAATTAAATGGGAATGTCATTAGAAAAAAAAAAGCATGAAACCGATTTAAATGGAATGGGTGACAAAAAAAAAAAAAAAAATGCTGAGTATAGACTATTATTCGAAGGAGATCATAATTTCAAATTTTGTTTGAACCATTCAATTTAAAGTGAAGAAATGAACCAAATATAAAATTTTTAATTCATTTTAAAATCATTAAAGTATAAATATTTTAAAGATATATACCCCGCGAGTAATCGCGGGGCAGAAAAACCTAGTATATATATATATATATATATATATATAAAGAATGGATTTTACGAACTGTAACAAATTAGAGATTAAAAAATCGTTTTCTACTGATGCTGATTACTTTATAATTTATATATCGCATTGTTCAAACAGCAAGATAACGCTTAGACTTTAAACATTAATTAATGCGAAGAAAAGATTATTCTAAAGGTTAACAATCGAAATAATGAAGGCATAAATCTTTTCTGAGAAGAAAGCTACAAATTTTCTCAGTTTCTAAAAGTTCCCACTCTGACTATGATTACAAAGGATGCCTTTTTTTTTATGGGGTTTACATAGGATGCATTGACAACCTAAATTTAAGGAAATCCAAATTTTTATGGGAGAAGTGTTCTAAACAATGAAAGTCAATCTTTCAAAATCAGTATGATGACAATCAGTAGTCCATGTCACCCATGCCGCCAGGCATTGCCGGGGCTGCCTTCTCTTCCTTGGGAAGTTCTACTACAACAGCTTCGGTTGTTGTGAGAAGGGAAGAAACGCTGCAGAGCAACAATCAATCAGGTAAGATCAGTCATCAGTAGCCGACACAAAACACGGGTTTCCTGCAGGGTAGCAAGACAGATAAAAGAAGCTTTGCTTGAAAACCTACCTCGCAGCATCTACCAAGGCTGTTCTTATCACTTTCAGTGGATCAATAATTCCAGCTTTCACCATATCGACATATTCACCTGTATAGACATATCAGAAATGCAAGTAGTTAGAAACGGACAATGAACATAATGGTGTGTACAGGCGAATAAACATGTTCAAACAATTTGCATGCATCTTCACACCTTTTGCGGCATCATAACCAAGATCGGGGTTGTCCTGCTCCAACAGTTTGCCAACAACAACAGCACCCTCTACTCCAGCATTGGAGGCAATTGTATGCACTGGCGTCTGCATTTCCATGTTATATGCAAATATCAGAACATCTTGAAAAATTGTCAAAGGAGCACACTACAAAATGAGACCCAATAAAAACTTCGAATACCTTCAAAGCATTCTGAATAATTTGGACACCAATCTTCTGATCAAAGTTGGCTGTTTCCAACTTCTCCAATTCTTTGGATGCATAAAGTAGAGCAACACCTCCACCAGGTAGAATTCCTTCTTCAACAGCAGCCTTGGTCGCATTTAGAGCGTCCGTAACTCTGTCTTTCTTCTCACCAACTTCGGCTTCACTAGCCCCTCCAATCTACAAGGACATAAAATTAGAGGTTAATACTGGACATATGTATAGACCGTGGGAGATGGAAGGGACCGAGACTGCTCAGCAATCGTGGATGCCTTGTGACCAAATAGCAAAACAAAAGAAAACAATGGCATACCTTCAAAACAGCCACACCACCAGAAAGCTTAGCTAGCCTCTCTTGTAACTTCTCTTTATCATAATCAGAGGTACTAAGTTCAATTCCAGACCGTATCTGATAAGAGGGGCAAGTTTTATGAGCACAAGTGAAGCCAAATTGAAGACCATAGGGGCAAGAAACAGTCAGAGGATTAGTTAAGGTACCTGTTCACATCTCTCCTCTATAACCTTCTTATCTCCAGAACCATCGAGGATGATTGTATCATCTTTTGATACTGTTACCTAAATAGGTCAGACAGGCACAGTCACTATACTTAGAGAAAGAAATCCCAAAACCTCATAAAATAGTGCAACATTTTTCACAATTCAGTTGTTCACAAAAATATACACCAGAAAGCGAAGAGATGAACATGTTCAGTTTACCTTTTTGCACGAGCCTAGCATATCCAATTCTACATTTTCAAGACTCAACCCAAGCTCTTCAGTTATAACCTACATGATCACTTGAGTCAGTTTCAAAGCATCATTAAAGACCACTATGAATAAATGTGCCGATAGAAGTATAATCTTACTTGGCCACCAGTCAAAATAGCAAGATCCTGTAGAGCAGCCTTCCTATTTTCACCAAACCCAGGAGCTTTAATGGCACAAACCTGCATAATCAAGAGATAATTAGACTTCATGTTCCAGTATGAGAAGGGGTAGGCCAAGTAGATGCTTGAGAGATTAGCAAAGAACCTTGATTCCAGCACGAAGTTTATTGAGAATCAAAGTAGCAAGTGCATCACTATCCACATCTTCAGAAACAATTAGAAGTGGTCTTTGTCTCTGGAAGAATTGAAAATACGCAGGTTAAAGGCAGAATACACATCATCAAACTTACTGTTTAGCATAGAATTACAAGTTTCTTCAAAAACTAAGGTGTCACTACCTTCAATGCCAATTCCAATGCCTTCACAATAGCATTAATGCTTGATATCTTTTTCTCATGAATCAGAATTAGAGGGTCTTCCAACTCCTGTTAATATCAACAAAAATCATTACATCCAACAATGAAGCTCATAAATGAATTGATCAATTTATATAGACAATAAAAGTAAGAGGACTTACGCATTTTTGGTTTTTAGGATTTGTGATGAAGTATGGGGATATATATCCCCTGTCCAACTTCATCCCCTCGACAACTTCCAGCTCATTGTATAAAGTTTTACCATCCTATAGACAAAAACCAGAGATTGAAGCAACAAAAACATTAAGATGATCCTCGTCATATTGAGACAGCTGCTCAGTTTTGCAACTGAAGAAAATTCAGATCAACAACAGAATACATTTGGAAACAGAAGACACAAACAGATTACTGTATTACTGACGCACAGACTAATCATTTATATCCTTTTTGGTTTACCACATCAGTTGATAGCTTTAACAGTTATTTGGCAACAGATTCACAACTTGTACAAAACGTGCACAAGACATGACACTCCAAACTCTTAAGAATTTTGTCTCTTCTTTTTATTCTCTTTTTTTTTTTTTTGGGTGGGGGGTGGCTAACAGGGTGTCCTTTCTATGTTTGGTTGATCAAATATGATATTCTCAATCCTGACTCTTAGAAGAATGATAATTTTTATATACTACTGGCTGAGTGAGACAATTTTTCTTATTGAATCTGAAATTAATTAGTTTCCTTAAAATGCTTCAAAATTACGGGACAAGAACTTTATCTGACCAGATAATGAATCTGCGTAATGAGTAATTTGGTATTCAAAGCCTCCGAAGATCCCATACGAAAGGAAGGATTAAAGAAATACTTACTTGAATTGTAATGACTCCTTCTTTCCCTACTTTCTCCATAGCCTTTGCAATCAGCTCACCAATCTCTCTTTCCCCATTTGCAGAGATTGTCCCAACCTATTTTAATCAGAACATGTCAATACTTTAGCACCAGATGCAGATAATGGAATATCTCCATTCACAAGGTTCAAGTTGAAAATAGTAAATCAAAGCCTCATAATACATGTATTGCTACTCTACACATTCTATCCCAAAGAAATATGAAGAGCCTCTCGCTGAGGCAATCCATTTCCATTTTAGAAAGGGTTGATTGAAGGATTCTGTATCACACTAAATGAACTAGGAGGATGCATGCAACTTGCTCAGTGGTAATATGCCTTGTAGAATCTCCAGTGCTCTGTTAGCTGGACGGATGAATTCTAGTCCCAAGTACTTGAATTAGAAACCAACCTGTGCTATTTCTTCAGATGTGCTTATCATACGAGCTCTGCTTTTCAAGTTCGTGACAACATTATCAATGGCCAGGTTAATTCCTCGCCTAAGGTCCATTGCATTCATACCAGCTGCAACAGATTTGCAGCCCTCAGTAAATATTGCACGGGTGAGGACTGTAGCACATGTAGTACCTACCGAAACACAAGCAAGTGGTCAGATTCACTCAAAATAAAGAGCATTACAAGGCAAAATCTGATATCCACATGCAACAAAATGCATTCCCAAAAACATGTCCAGAAACAACACAGAGAGAATCTAAACTGACTTACCATCACCAGCGACATCATTAGTGGCATTGGCAACCTGCTTTACTAGACTTGCACCAACATTCTTGACTTTATCCTTGAATTCAATACTTTTGGCTACAGTAACTCCGTCTTTTGTCACTTTCGGAGCACCCCAACTTTGCTCAATCACAACATTACGTCCCTACACAAAACACACAACAAGCCACACTTAATTAGTAAGTTGGAAAAAAAAGATTTGGGTGTGCAGAGTTTCATGCAGTATCATAAAAAATGAGGAAGCGCAACCCCTCCTGGCAAGAGATGTAAGCCTAAATTTTACAAGAAACATAATTGCTAAAGATTTTACTAATCCAAAATCAATAACAATAACTATAATAAACTAAAACCAGAACCAAAAAAGTCACAAACTTTATGACCTTTTTTCAAACAACAAGAACAAAACCAACAAGATCCTCATTGCTTGAAACTCCAAAAAACAATCAAAATCGTAATCCACTTCCGGGCCTTATAAAGGGCAATCACAAATTCATAAATTGATAAAGAGGAGAGAACTTATTACCTTAGGACCCATAGTAACTCTAACTGCTTCAGCAAGATCCTCAACACCCTTTAACATCAAAGCACGGGCCTCAACTCCAAATTTAATATCTTTAGCTGCATAGTTACGACTCCATCCCAGCCTACTACTATTAATCTGTAAAAACAGAAACCCATTACCAGATCAACATCAAAACCCACTAAAAACACAATCTTTTGAAACAAACTTTCGCTAATTGACACTACAAAATTCGTACCGGTTGGCTGCAGTTTCTAGCAAGCCTGCGAGTAAATCAAAAACAAAACAAAAAAAATCGAATAAGCAAACAACTCGCAATTTCGCAAAAACTAAAACAAAACCATAGTTATTACAAGTAAAAGAGCTAAAGTACCTGGCTTTGTTGGCCACATTAGCTACAAACCGATGCATTATTACGAACTTTTGCGGGATTTAAGTGGAAAGAATTGGAGGAAGAGAACTCAGAGCAAAGGGAGAGCGTGATGGTTCAGATAGCCGGCGAAGAACAAAGAGCGGAGGAGGAGTGGTGGAGGGGTTATTAAGAAGGGGAGAGAAGAGTCTAGAAGGAGGAGCTTCTAGGGTTTTAGGTTTTAAAATAGTAGTTTGACAGCAAAAACAGAGTGGGGTTTTAAGGGGGTAATAATAGTGAAATTCGATTTGGATAAACTGTAAAAAGTTATTTACCCTCCCTGACTCTGGCGACAGAAAATAGATAAAATGTGGTAATTTTTAAACTTTTGTTTTTTATTCAAAAAAAAAAAGAAAGAAAGAAAAAACTTTTTGTTTTTCGTCTGAATGCTTTTCCAACATGTTTCATATGACTTTCCTAATAATTTTGTAATTTCTCTGTATCACATAAAAATAATTCAAATACAAAATTAGAATGATGATGATGATTATATATATTGTACTATATAAAAAGGTAAGGAGTATCAAATTATAAAAAAAAGCATACTATAAATCATTTTCAAAAGCAATCAAACGAAAAACAGAAGTTAAAAACTTGCAAACTATTTTTATATGACATTTGGAGATTTATTTATTTATTTGAATTCTGTGTGCTAAAATAGATAGTGTGCGAAAGTATATATATATATTACTCCCTCCGTCTCATAATTATTGTTCAGTTTGAATTTTCATTTCTAGTTCAAATTGTATTAAAAGTGAAATCTCAAATTAGACAATAATTTTGAGACAGAGAGTATTTATTTTAAAAATAATAAAGAATCCTTACACTACTATCTACGCAACGACCTAACCATCACGACACAAAACTCAAATCTTAATTAAACTCAGTGCTATTTTTGAAACCCAAACCCAAAAAAATAAAAAAATGAAATAAAATGAATTGTTATGTCTACAATCCAAACCACTAAAGGCGCATACGCCTTCAAACTCGAAAGATGGCGTGGTTATTAGCAGGAATTTTAATCCACGCCTTAAAGCTCTATGGGCTTCATCCAAGAGAATTTTTGTTATTAATATTTTTGTGAAAAAAACAAAAGAAGAAATAGTTCAGATTCTCACAAGCTCAATCGCAGTCCGCTCAGAAAACCCAAATATACAAAGAATTAATTTCACACATTTCCTCACCTAAAGAAAAACGCACACACACAGTCACACAGTCGCGGCGGAGCTCAGTTCGAGAGGACAAAGGCAAGATGACGGAGGCAATGGTGAGGGGGAAAGCCGGCATGGCTAGTGTCAAAGACATGCCGGTGGTCCAAGACGGCCCGCCACCGGGTGGGTTTGCTCCGGTCCGTTTCGCTCGCCGGATCCCTAATACTGGGCCCAGCGCCATGGCCATTTTCTTGACCACTTTGGGTGTTTTCTCCTATGGAATGTATCAAGTCGGCAAAGGCAATAAGATCCGCAGGTATAATAAAAACCCCTTTCCTCGTTATGTGAGTTTAGTGATTGCAATTGTTATCAAGTTTGTGTTTTGGATTGATTTTAGGCTTTTGATTTTAACTGTATTTAGGTAATTAGGTTTCATTTCCCTTGGTTGATGTATGAATTTTTCTATGGTATTGGGTATAGTAATTGGGTATGAAGAGGGACGAATGAAAATGACATCGTCATTGTGCGTTGAATGATCACGGTAGGTTCTGTTTTGTTAATTTACTTCGTGACCTGGTTATAGTAATCCGCTAATGCGTATGATGCTTTCTTTCTTTTTCCCTGGAAGAATGGGGAGCGGAATAAGGAAATTTTCATCCTAAATGTGGATGGATTTGGGCTCCTTTATGTTGTTTACTGCGAATACAAATTTTTAATAATAGTGGAATTGACTTTTGGAAAGAAAACTGTTTAGAAAAGTTGGATCCAGGAAAAAAATGATTGATTTAGTAAGTATGAAGGTTATGAAACCAGTTCTAAGACATCGAGAATATTGTAGTTACCGAAAGGTCCATCACATTGTTACTCTTTGATTGAAAGATATCCATCTATTAGGTGGTGTATTGAAGAAAGTTTGCGACATCCCTTTTTACAGATTATATGATAGATACCGTGAGTAAATTAATCATATCCTCTCTCGCTCTTTATGTATTTGGTACAACATGTTATGATGATATGCGGTGGCCTATTCATATACCTAATCACATCGAGATACTTTTATTCGTTGTGGGTATTATGGGGGGCATGTTGATGTTTTCATGCCTAAAGGGGACTATTACCGCATTAACTCCTTACATCCATTTATAATGAAGAGCTTCCCAATGCTTGGTGGGGTGCCTAAGTACAAGAATAATTTAGGAAAGGTTAGTTTAGGTCGTTTGTTCGGATTTATTGAGGTTTAGGAAATGCCTATTCTCCCCCAAGTAAATAGGGAGCACAGTACTTTCTTTGAATATGAAGCTTTAGCGACAACTGGAAAGAAAATTTATCTCTTAGGTTGATGGCTTTTCTGAAAATTTTTTCGATTAGGTTGATGTTCTGCAGTACCATTGACAGTCAAAACAGGTGGTAATTTAGTGATGTTAGATCAAGCTTTTAGCTGGTCCCTGCTTTGTGAAGGTCAAAAAACCAGAAAGAAGTCTTTGGGGGTTCACATTTTTGCATATATTTCTTTCCTGCGAAATTCAAGCTGTCTGTACCTTAGAATTGCTACTTCTCTGACATGTTGAAATCTGTTTATGGTTGTTATTGGTGATATTAGTTCATTTTGAGGGTTTTTTCAGTTTTTGGTATATTTGGTTTTTCTTGGGGTCTTTTTGGGGTCGTAGACTGACCGTATAGCGGAATTGGATGGCAAATTAAGTTGAAAACTACAAAAACTTATAAGAGGAGATTTAGAATCCTCCTTGGTTAATACCACAAATGAGATTTCCTTAACTCAAAGACAAAGTTAGCTTGAATAGATTATACAATCAAATCATTCATTCATAAAGTTGCTTTGAGACAGTTAAGTTGAGATGAAGGCTAACTTCCAAAACTTACGTCTGGATTTCCTTGAGTGATGTCCCCATTAAGGTTTAAAGTGTTATTGCTGCAACGATTGTCTTGTCAAATCATTGTAAAATGAGCTTAGTTGGATACTTGTCAGTTTTTTCTTTAATCGTGCATGTCAAGTAACATTCTCCGGTTGAGCACTGCACCCTACAGGTTTATACCCTCCTTAATATATTATTTCAATACTCTTATGATCATGAGCTCCTGGCGCGGATGTATGATTTTTTTAAAATCTCAAGGAGTTCCTGTTGTGGGTGATAATCTATCATCAAACCCTAACTGACAGTATAAGCAACTGTTCGTGGAATTTACATTATTAGTTTAGTTAAAGTATAAATTAAGATTGTAATACGTGTGAACTCTAGTGAATTTTGTTCGGAATATAGTAGGCAGTGCTGAACCACAGAGGATAGATAATGAAAATGGCAATATCTGAAGCCATGGAATCATTTTTCCCCTGAACCTTGAGGGTTTTTGCTGTTATTAGCATAACCTATTTGCTTGATATGCAGCATGATCGAAATAGAATTTGATTTCAGGGCTGAGCTAGACTTACGTACTGTCACCTATATGGGAAGAACTGTTTGTTGAGGACAAATATGACAAATTACTTCTAGTCAAATCGTATACAAGACATCCTTTTTTTCTTTTTTTTTTTGGTTTGAATTTATTCAATAATGGATGTATCCTTCAAATAAGTTATGACAGCTTTTTTTCTTTACCCCACCATTTAGGGCAATTAAGGAAGAAAAGTATTCTGCACGGCGTGCTATATTGCCAGTGCTTCAAGCTGAAGAGGATGAAAGGTGATTGTCTTTTACAATTGATGTTTCACTTCAACCATGCTTCTACCTGATGCCTTCAGTACTTTTTGCTTTGACGAGACTCATAAGCTAAACGTTTATCAATTTATTTCCTCCATCAGATTTGTTAAAGAGTGGAGGAAATATCTCGAGGAAGAGGCCAGAATAATGAAGGATGTTCCTGGCTGGAAAGTTGGTGAGAACGTGTACAACTCAGGAAAGTGGATGCCTCCAGCTAGTGGAGAACTCCGACCTGATATCTGGTAGGAGTGAGATTGGGGTCTTTTGAGGCTTGTAACTGTACGAGTAATGTTAAGCCATGGTTCCTTGACATCCTTTATGGAATATGTATTAAGTTGCCTGCCTCTCACAGAAAAATAAAGCTGAATTAAGGGGATCTGCTTTACAATGTAATCAAATTGATGAGACACGTTGCTTCTGTAATCTTTTGATGTTCAACTAAATTGATGCAAGTACGCATTTATGTTTTGGGACTTGTTTATGATGACACTAATAAATGTCGGAAGCTTCTTGTAGCCATTTCCGTGATTTGTTACCGGACAGCGGTTGCTCCTCTGGTTCTTTAATGATCTAACAGGCCTTGTTATATGTGGTACAAGTATACAACAGCCGTACTTTGGAAATTAAAGTCCATATTTAAACTACTTAATGTTAGAAATCAAATTTCGAAGACGATGAAATAGATATTGAAGTTCATTTATAAATTTTTGAAATTGGACTGTGTAAATGGATTACCAAAAAAAAAAAAAAAGAAAAGAAATTGGACTGTTTAAATGAGGTTGTGAGGCTTTTCTTGTGAAATTGTGAATCAAACATGAGCGCTTTACTTCACAATCAAAACACACCCGAATCTGGATTTGAGTGTAATATGAAAAGAAACACACTCCAGTTATCAGTGGAATACTAAGATGAAGAACAGTTGGAAACAAGACGAAGCATTGCACTTGTTTACATTACAACGACACTAACATAGCTGAAGTAGAGAGAAACCTGAAAAGAGCGCAAAAAACATACAGAAATCCTTAATGCTAGGAGCTCCTTTTATTACAACCACAAAACAAACAGAGATCCACTGTCAAACTCAGAAGCTCAACATTGAACATACTGAAGGATAAGTACTTGTGTTGTGTCCATTACAGAGGACCTGTTCCTTCGATCTTGTCAGGATTTGGGATGCTAGAGTAGGAACAGAAGTTGTTGTTCATCTCCCAGCTCCAGTCTAGATTCCTGGAAATAGACATGGGCGCCGAGCGGTTAATTCTTACATAATGTTCTCTGATCTTCCCACCAGTTTCCATCCCAGTGACTACACAGTAACATGCCTCATGACCACCCCACACCTCGTCACCTGGATCTGCAGTTTGGCTTCCGTCCTGATGGAAATAACGGTGCATGATCTGTCCGGTACCGTTCCAGTAAGGATCTAGGTTTCGCCAGTATACCGGCGCTGTCTGAAGATAAGACACCACTCAGTGGAACTGATTTACGAAGCTACATTCCAAGTCTACAACCCATGAAATCAGGTCCATTGACACAACATACCTTTGTGAAATGAAACTCCCAATCATGATCGCATAAATCATCCCTCCTTATCCGAGTCTGGCATTAGAAGAACAAATGTTACTTATCAGCACGTCTAACTCTCAGCCATATTCATGTTTTTCGTTCATTTTTTTAACACAGAAAAAGAACATACACGTTTGCCATCCATGGTGGACAATGAGTACACTTCTAGCTTTGATAATCCTCGAACTTTAGAGATGCGAGGTATATGAGCTTTTCCAAGCCACAGCTCATCACACTGCACGAAACATGCATCATTTGTTATAAATGGATCATAATGTCGTATAATCTTTTTGTATCTCCTCATATTTTATACAATGAAGTCACATAATCAAGCATTTTCATACAGGTAAACAGTCCATCAGGCATCAGCCAGAACCGTAGCAACCTGATCACATAAATGCTACGATGAGTCCTCAACTAATACTCAAAAGTGAAATGAAGAACATGCATAAATATTTAGGCTGAGGTTGTAAATGTTCTAGTATTTGCAAACCCATCCCTCAAAAAGTACAGGACACAACGCTGCAAGTACATCAACAACAACAAGAGGCCTTTTTTCCCACGACCATGAGGGGAAAAATGACAAGGGAACCTACACTATCTCTCTGTAAAGCGGTTCCCGTTTACCTCTTCCTCCCTCCCTCAAACTTTACAACAGCCAAAGTACCACACAGAATGAAAAAAACAGTTTCTTCACAAATTGCAGATGAACACAAACGTGCGAGTCAACTGAAACAAAGGGCAGATGCCTCAAGAGTCATGGTTGATCTAGAGCATCTGAATAACAACGTTACTAACCAGTTCAGAACCCCTAAACAATAAAGATACCAAGGACAAAAGGTTATCCCTCGGTTTACCTACACTCCATCTCTAAATACTTGCAAAATTAACACGCCAGAGGGTGCCTATAATTCAAAACTGACCTGAATCCAAATTACCTTCAACAACTCAAACCAAGTATCAGGACTGTAATCAAACACAAACACAAAACTTAGATACAGGGGGAAGAGTAATCAATTATAATCAGAAAATTAACAGGTTCCAACCAACCAATTTGAATCCACCGACTGAGATTTAACAAGCATACCTTCAAAAGAACACCAAAACTAACCTCAAAACAGTATATTCAGCTCTAATTTGACTCAACCCAACTCAAAATAAGAGGCTAAATTCAAAAGGGAAGAAAGGAAACGAACTCTTATAGACCAAAGCCTATCACTTGAAGCAACTCCATTCCATCCTCGAGAGACGAGGAGACATAGTGCCACGCTGCGTGCGTCAAGGAAACCAAGTATCATGTGCATAATATCGAATCCAAGAACCATTAAAGGGTCTTGCAATTGAAGCCTCGGATGATCGATTTCTAACATCATTTCTGCCTCCTCTGCCTTCTGTCTTGTCTTTCTTTTTGTCAGTGTGCTATCCATAACCTCAACGAACTCATCATGCCAATTGTTCGTTGATTCATCTGGGCCATCTCCATTTCCTTCAGTTTCAGGTTTTTCCCGCTTCCTTTTGTTCATTCTTGGAGGGGATTTCTTCGCCGTGATGGACCTTACCCAAGGGGGAAGGAAATTAGAGAATTGTGGAAAGGAACTTTCTATAAATAGCTAGCTCTAAATGCTATGGGAGGTGCCTAGGAAGTTTCGTAAATTCCTTGTATGCCCACAAATTCCACTGAAGTTGTCAGTTTAGTCCTCCATTGTTTTGCTTTTGTTATGTTTTCCCTACTTAATTTTATGACTAGGTTTCTTCTGTCCGCGCAAGCGCGGACCCTTTTTTTTTTGGTACGGACCCCCCCCTTTTTTTAATTTTTTTTTTTTACAAACATTAGTAATTAAAAAGATTATAAAAGATGAATTGTGTTGATTAAACTATGTTAAGTAATTTCATATTTTTTTAATCTAAGTATTTATTTACTTAAGATCAGTGAAATAAATTAATAAAAACATCATTTCTTATAAGTTTTTCTTTATAATTTTTATCTACATTGTGAGTAAAAACTATTTTAAAAAAGTAAGATAATAGAATCACAAACAAATAAAAGAGAGATAAAATTACATAAATTTTTGGCCAGATTGTTTTGAACAAAAAAAATAGGATAGTAAAAAGCATGGTTTTGGACATAAAAGAAATACCAACAATTTATTTTTTGAAAAAATAACAAATTGTAAATTTTCAAATTCTTCGGCTATATTTCATTTTGAAATAATATATTCTCATACTTTGTTTCTAATCCTACCGATGTGTAGTGTCACCGAAATCGATTGAGATAATTTTAAAATTTAGTTTGGTGAATCAAACACTGTTTGATATTTAGAAATTGCACACATTTTGCATTTCATGCACGGTGAAACTTTTAATCTTTTATTTTATTAGTATTCACTTAATTTAGCACTTAACATTTTTTCACTTAAGCTTAATAGAAGTAATTAAGAGAAAATTCAGACTAAATGAATTTTTAAGCATTAAAAATTAATAAATAAATTTCATTAACGTGTTATGTAAATTTAATTTTTTTTGAGAAATAAAGATAAAAACACAACTTATAAACAGTCGCAATTCCATTGTTGTGTTTCGCTACATGGATAAATCTAGGCGAATTTCCTATGAGATAAAATGGAGATATGTTATTTCACTATACACTTTAGTGAACCAACAGCCTGATATAAGGATAAGAAATATCATTGGAAATATTCTAAGTATTTGGTGATTTTATTGTACACTAAAAGCATCCAAATGATCCATATTTATAAAGTTTTAGGAAACTCTTGAGAATTAGACGTAACTCTTGGTTATGATCCTAGACATAATTTTTTGTTAACTAATAACGTTAATGTCTTTTCATATGGAGTCCATAGGCACAACTTATTAGTTGTGTCTTTGCAATATATTAAAAACCAATAATAGGCACAACTTATTAATTGTGTCCTACAATATATTGAAAATAACTCAAACACGACGCACGTAATTAAATGTTAGTTATAGTAAAAAAAAAGTTTTTCTTATGTAGAAATTATGGGGAAAAAAAGATAAAAGAAGCAATTTTATTTTATTTTATTGAATGCAACATTTATGTGAAGATTAAAATATTTAAATCAATGAGGAACTAAACGTGGGTTTTGCAAATGAGAAATTGGCAGAGGTAAAGCTGCCCTTACTCTCACAAGAAGGTCATGAGTTTAATACCCTACTCAAACAAGAGTGAGGAATCTTTACCCATGAACTCCACTAGAGGATTTGTCATTGCAAATGCACACATGAACTTCTAATTTCACACCTTAACTTGTCACTTCAAACTTGCGTAAGGTGATTTACCTTCCATTACGGTTTACACGCTAATTATAATAAGCGTAGGTTTACTCATCTCTGATGAGATTTCCAATGTAAAAAAAAAAAAGCATTTGTGTGAATTTAAAGATATAACTGATTGATGAAAACTATTTAGGAGTAAAGGTGATTTTGAACAAACGTTCCCTGAAAGCTAAAGTAATTAAACATGCGATATCTCGAAACTGTTGATGTGCTTAAATAAATAAACTTGACGCCTAAACAACCAGGATGAGATTTCAAGTAGAAAATACATAGCACAATGGTGAGTGTTAGTCATAATTTGCGTCCCAAAATTGGAGGTGGAAAAAAAAGCTAATAAATAAATAAGTAAATAATTAATCCATTTGAAAACATCGAAATTGAATTGAAAACATATTAGACACCAAATTTGAGCTGAAACGGTTAGGGGAGATTTAGAACGACCACATTGGGTTATTTTGACTTGGAAAACATAAAAAATACAAGCATTTCCCTAGTTTACTCTACTAAGGAAGCATCATGCGATTCGCAGTAAGCTTCCACTCCATGGCAAACTAATTAAATTGAATGAGTTTACAGCTTGTAGGTCATAGCGCAACAAAGTCATATTATATCAAACTAATTAAAATAATTATTATTAGAAGAGTGTCATATTATATTTTTTTTCCAATTTTTTAATAGTTATTATTTTGTCCTATCGCTTGTCGACAACTCAAGCATTATACTAATTTTTATATTAATACAAATTGTAGTCTTTGACTTAGGTTATCCAAACATGATACTGTAATTATTGTCACAATTTTATTTATTTTCTTCTATTTTTCTTTGGATGACTCAATTAATGCATCGCCAATTCTAATATTTTTTTCTTGATAGGATTGCCTTTTTTTTGTATATTACCTAAAAATGCAATAAAACAAATCATAGTAAGAGTTTTTTATTTCTTTTTTCCACAAAGATAACAGATTAATGGATAGTAGGGCTAGTCCTCTATTAGCTTTGTTTTTCTAGAACTCTAGGTCGTTTGATGAGTTTGTCAACATTATCGTCGACTTGTTCATCGGCATAAGTATCTAGAGGGTAACGAAATCATTAACTATTAGTTAGTTTTGAGCTTTACTCCAATCTTAGACCAAATCAAATTACTTTTGATATTTTTCTATTAACCATAGTGTATTGAATGAAGTTTTCAGATTGAAAATATTTTTTAAGCATTTTTAAGAATTAATCCCTAGCTTATTAAAAATTATTCACTTGGTTTTACAACAGATTTTGTTCGCTTGGTTTATTAAAGAAAGAACTAAAAAAAACTAATAGAGGGAGGGAGAAATGGAAAAGTCTAGCAAATAGATTAAAAATAACAGCAACAGAAAAAAAAAAAAATCTTGATCGAAAGAAAAGATTTCATAAATTGAAACTTTTAGTTTTAATATTATATTACAAACAACAATTAATTATAAATTCATTGTTGATTATTCCAATCATTTATTTTTTTGAACGGGTTTCCCCCATCATCACTCATTATATAAAAACCATCTAATTGCACTTTCCAAGAGACAGTATGAGGCGGAGCGTAATTGGCTATCCTACGATCATAAATAGCCATATTTCTAGTCTTTCCAGCCCACCAAAAGTCACAGTAATACTTGGGGTTGGCTGTAACTTTCTTATCGAAATCGAAAGAGAAAATCTCTTGTAAAGGAAGCACATGACGACCAAAATCTTCACCACCTTTTTTGTAACAATGGTATTCTAGAGGGTTGCCATCATTAGGCAATTGGTTCTGGATGGAAACTTTCCACCAATATCCTAGGTTTAGTTTTGGTGTACATAAAAAACATATGAAGAAAAGAAGGAGAGAATGGTATGAATTTTGAAAATGATTCATGTTGTTTGGGGTGATTGTGAATTTCGTCTCATTATGGTGTATTTATATAGTTCACAACATACAATATACGATTCTTCCTTACTCAGATTTTTTATGACACTTTAATTTTCGACTATATTCGTTGTGATAATAATTACACAATTGACACGTGGATACGTAATTGGACACATGCCAAATATTATAACTAGTACCTCGAAGGGTATTAAAACAATGTCATCAGAATATTTTGTCGAATTCGTATTAGGGACTTAATACTTGCCAACAATATTATTTTGTTTAAAAGGGAACAAGAAAATGATAAGAGCTCACTAAAAGTGGAAAATAAATATAAAATGTCAAGTAATTAGGAAGAGTTATATATACATCTGGTAATACATCCATAATAAATTAATTCTCATGGTAACTAACTTTGACCAAATTGAAACTATGTGATTTGTGTGAATTTGGTTACTTACTGTGTAATAGTGATTATGCTTAAAATAAATAGTGACTTTAGATTTTGTCAATTAGATTACATCTCTATATGAATTAAATTGAATGAAAAAGATGAAAGCACTTAGGGTGTGTTCGGTCGCTTGGCGTTGGAATTACATTGGCATTAGAATATTTTGGGATTCAATTGGCATTCATGATATTCTAATTCAATTCTAATTCATCTGTTCGGCAAAATCGTGGAATTGGCCACAAATTCAATTGGGATTCCAAATTTTCTGTTCGGATGATCAAGTAATTGGATTGATTTTGGCTTTTGCCAAAAATAAAGAAAAAAGGAAAAATTAATTTATTTTGAAATTATTTTAACTTTTAATTTTTGTTATGTTAAATAACATCATTTCTAGAATAATATCTAGATATATTTTGTTACCATTTTTAAGGTGACAAAGACGAAACTCTTTAAATTTTTATTTTTTGAACTTATCAATTATTTAAAAATTCATTAAAATGATCAATTTAGGTCGTTCTAACACTGTTATATTAACATAAATATAAAAAATTACAAAAAAATGATTACGTATGTAGTAATTAATTTAGTTCAAGTGATTGTTTTGAAACAAAAGAAATTGACCATGAAATGAAGGGGGCGGTATCAAAGTCAACATTCAATCATCTTCATATATAATATAACAGTCATCCAAACATTGTATATTCAGCCATCTTTATATATACTGTAACAATCATTCAAACATTGTATATGTTCTTATTAAACATTTTGTTTCTTGAGCTATTTGATCTATAAAGCATGTCCCAATAACTTTATCCATCTCGGTAGTCTAAGTGACATATTTTTCTTTTCCTTACCCTTGAGAACTTGCTTGTGCATTAGAAGCCATCTACAATCTACAGTACCACCAAATCATAAAAATGAGTAAAAAACACCAGCAACAATGATAAAAAAAAAAAAAACCATTAGTGAGAAGAGTTCCATCCTAAATTTGCTGCAAAATAACAAAATTTCCTATACGAAACAGACATGAAGTTCCAATTTATCTAACATACATGTTGTTCATCTTAGCTTCTATAAGCCAAAACCAATACCTAGGATCTGAAGCAAACATGAACCAAACATCTACATGCAAAGACACTCGTAACAGGGGCGCCACAGATGAAAAAACTCATAAACTTATGAAGCAAAACCATAACTCATAAAGCAAGATAACAAAAATCTACTATAGCAGAGGGGTGATAGAAGCAATTAGCAAAGAACTAACATAACTCTATTTCAAAGGACAAAATATCCAATCAAAATGTTCACACAAAAAAATTACACTTAAGAGAATTTGTGCAAGGTACAAACAGTATTAGCCCAGAAGCAAGGTGAAACATCAAAAATAAAACTGTAATCTTATGTGTAAAATGCTTTCAAACGCTTACCAAATTCTGCCATCTGTGGTATATGCCAGTGATATCCCTCTTTTTCCACTCCTTAAGGTCAAACATGTTCATCCCATAGGCCCAACCACAAGCATTGGGGTCAAAATTCCGAGCAATATGAGGATTAGAAAAGTTGAGATACTTGTCAAAGAGATGGAAATTTTCACCACAAGTTTCAACGGCACCATTAACTTTTCCATGCAGATCAACAGCCCATAGTCCAGTCAGGTCTTTTTTGACAACTATATCATCATCGAGAAACAGAATTTTATCCAACTTCAGATACACCTGTGGAAGATAAAACCTCAGATTGTTGAGCATTGAAAGGTACTTGGGATTCCTATACTTCAGGTTAGAAGAACCAGCAGAAACTATCGTAGGATGAGCTGCCTGGAAGTAGTACTCTTTCATGGCAGCAGATTCAAGCTGCCTTAGAACTGGGCAATACGACGAGTTTAACCACTTAAATTCATCAACATTTTCAACATGAATCGTAGCTTTTCCAGGAGGATTCAGTAGGAACCACATGTTCATTGCTCCAAAATTTAATTTGTCAGTCACCAGATGGAAAACGTGCTTCTCAGGTTCCTGAAATGAATATATAACCACATTAGAAATCACACCCCTGAAATAAAATAGTCTGCACGCAAAGCTGCGTAAGAGTTCCACAAGTCAATTAAATTTCATCTGCATAAATGACTCGACTAAGGTAATTCCACTGTTATCAACAAATACAACTTCCGTATACTTCACTTAATTAAAACACAAAACTTTGACTCATGCACAGATCCTTAGTTATTCATCTTTCCGTATGGATCTAGTGCCATTTCGAGCTGTATATAAGAGTGCTTAATAAAACAGGAATAGTACAAAAGACAAACGAGAAATTGTAGGGATGATATTTGTAGCGTTACACCTGCCACTCTAGATGTTAAAGAAAATCAAGAAAATAATTCGCACCTTGGCATTCTTTATGGTTGAGTTAACAACAACAGAGGCAGCAAGAACGTTGTCGGAAAAGAGGGCATAGTGATATAGGTTTGGATTTTCCAAATTCTCCATTCTGGGGAAGCTTCTTTTTTCTGGTTCAAGAAGATAATAATCAATTGTTAACCGCAATGACAAACAGTGGATTCCATTTGGAATTGTCTTGGCAGCCAACTGACTGAGAAATGTGCTCTGTTTCTTCAAACTTCGCACTTGCTCATCAGCAGATTGTAGCATTGCTCTGAGCTTCCCAGTGACCAGCTTGCAGTCATACAGTTGTTCTCTAGCTTTCGCAAGCACTTGATCCATAGCTTCAATTTTTTCACCCGCACTGACTCAAATAACACCAAAACAAGACAATTATCACAAAAGCATCAGATAAAGTGAGGAGCTGTCCCAAAAACTAGGCAAAAAATTCTGACTACCTACAACTAAGATCAGAATCAGAAGCAGCTTCTCCTAATGCATGCTGACTTTCTTTCAGTCAATTTTGAAGTTCACGGGCCAAGTCAAGCTTATTCTTCATTGTTGCAAGACTTATATACACCCTAGCCATGATCATTTGATCACGGATCAATCGAACAGTTGAATCAGTATTCTCCATATCATTCTCTTTCCTCCAAATACTGTATTTCCCAAGAACTGCAGAATCAACTGACTTAGAACGTTCAATAGCTGCATTTTCAAGCTTCAAAGTTACTTCTTTATCTTGTTTTACTAAATCAGCAGCATGTTTTTCACGCCTTTTCTCCCTCAATTGCTGCCAAAGTGATTGAAAAAAGATTTCAAAACAAATAATACAGAATATAACAGAATAAAGTAAGGGCTCATTTTTGCATTCAAAGAAGCGTAAAGTTCAACAAAAGTCTTTCTGCTCAATCAAACATCAATAGATGGTTCCACATAATAAATAAATAAAACTCATCCTAACAGGATATCAGTAAGAGCACAGTATGCACGACTTCTTTTATACTCACCCTTCTAGCTGCTTTAGCAGGTGTATCAGAGGAATGGGATTGGACATCTGCAAAAGCATTCCACAAGACAGAAGTTACAAGAGCCATAGTAATTTGTGTAGGAACTACTAAGAAGTTACATATCTTCATAGATAATATACATACTAGTGAATAAAACATGCTATTCCTGCAGAAAGAGCACTATTTTCACTTGTGAAGTTTAGAAAATATATTACAAAGGAGGTAGCATTTTCACTATCAAAAAGCCAGCTTCAACAGTTAATTATCTACATGACTAGTTCTCTTGATAGACTTCACAAGACCAGACAAATCATCAAGCAGTTCAGCTTTGGAATAACACCAGGACAGGGAAGTGTTTCCAAATCAATATCAAACTCAAATAGCAAAGAAGGAAGGTGTTCTGTGACCAAATTTAATACATTAATACCTTTCAGTTTAATGTATTAGAAAAATGAAACATGTAACCACTGCATAGAAGCATTCAACTTGTGTGTTATAAAATTTTTGAGAAAGCACAGAAAGTATAATAGTTGACGATCTGGAGGCATAAGAATGCAAATGCAACTTACTAAGTTCCAACAACCCGGTTAGTCATAGCTTCTGTCTCTTTCGGTTTGAAGATTCTAGCTATACCAAAATCAGCAATCTTTGGTTTCATATTTTCATCCAGTAACACATTACTGGCTTTCAGATCTCTATGAATAACTATCATTCTGGAATATTTATGGAGGTACAATAATCCTTGAGCAATACCATCGATGAAATCAAATCGTTTCTGCCAATCCAATTGCTCTTTTTTATCTTTGGCTGTTAAAGAGATGCAAAATGGCTTGAATTGAAGTATGCTTTTCATTTTGTTATATTGGGATTCAGAGAAAATCATAAAGCAGAAACGATTCAAATGCTTCATACCAAAAAGAAAGAAGTCCAGGCTCTTGTTGGGCATATACTCATAGATTAGCATTTTCTCTTCTTCATGAATGCAACATCCTAAAACTCGGACGAGATTAGTGTGCTGGAGCTTGGATATAAGAATCAGTTCATTTTTGAACTCCTCTAATCCTTGACCCGATGTCTTCAAAAGCCTTTTAACAGCAATTTCCCGACCATCAAGTGATCTCCCCTATCAACATAGTATTACAGACTATCAGCATAAAATCGGAATGATAATCTTCTTAGGGATTCAAGTATACAACTCACCATGTACCCGATGTCTGAAACCACCCTTTCCACAAGTCCCCCCGGGTGCTGTTGCTCATTCTCTACTCAGGCAGCAAACTGAAACTACCCGTTTGACGAATAGAAACCCCATCATCCTTTTGACTAGAATTAGTAGATGCATGATTGTCTAGAGACCCGGGGAAGGAGAATCCAGATTGAAATCCACCTGCCATTGGGTCCAGAACTGACCTTGAAGTACCATCATCACCCAACATTGACGAAAAGAGGGATCCTGGACTCGGGCTAGGAGGCATCCAATCCCCAATTATAGCAACACGGTCATCAAACCCACCCATTAGAGCAATCCTTCTATACTAATAACTCAGAAAAGACCAGATCAACTTGTAAACAATGAGCCGAACGCAACATAAACAAACCTGAAAAATGACAAGGCAATTTTCAAAGAAATCAGGATCGTGTTTAATCATAGTAAGTAATTATACTAAAGTGGACAAAAAAAAACTAAATTCATATAATTGAACACAACATGAACAAGCCTGAAAAATGAAAAGCAAAGGAGCATGTTTAAAATGAATTTTCAATGAAGACCAGAACTTTCAACCACAAATAATTCACCATACTCTCCAGTTCACAGCCACAGTAATTAATTCCACTCTAAAATTCGAGAAAATGAAAGGGTTATTTTTTTTCTTTGCATTAAAAGGGTTGAAGCATCACACACAACCAGCATGAGTTCAATAAACAAAACCCACAAAATTTCAAACAGATTCCTGCTGAAATAAGACCGATTTGATTGAAAATCTAAGCATCAAAAAGTATGGGAATCTAACCCTAATCTATACGAAAGGAAGAAAGAGGGGAAATAAGAAAGAGTAAAGTCATCGACTCCTTCGCCTTCGCGTTCGCCGTCGTCAATTGGTGCGAGATGTACAGAATCGGAGATGAAGGGTGGTGTCGCGGCGGAGTAAGGAGGAACCGAGGTGATGAGGGAGAGAGAAAGCAAGGAAATAAAATAAAGCCGTGAAAATTAAAACAAGAGGAGATCCGAATAGCTTATAACCCGGTATTGACCCGATAATGACCCGCGTACTGTTCAACTCCATGAGAGTTTGGAATCCCAAATAATAATTTCAAGCCCGGAATTGAAATCATAGCATTGGAAGTCTTTTGACATTGGGCCAATGCCAATGCCATCTTATTTTTAGATAGCCAAATACCGGATTTAGCATTGGGGGCCCAAATTCCAAATCAACCCCTCAATGCCATGCAAATGAACAGAGCCTTAAAAATGTCATCATTATTACATTGACAAAGTTACCGAACTAAATTACATTTATCAACCTATAATAACCCAATAGTATATATTATGAGCTGCGGAATATTCCCCACTCTTTAAAACTAACTCATTTGTTAATAAAAATTTACTCTCTCCGTTTCAAAAAATAGCCATCATTGTTAATTGCAAATTGCACAAATTCTTATGCAATTTTATTTACGTTGGCTTACTCGCCATCATGGATCTCCATAATTTCACTGTAACATGCGTTACCTATTGATGAACATGTTAGGGACCAACAGGGACAATTGGCATCCCCTTTCGTAGATATATTTATTTAGAATTACTGAGGAATGGCTAAACTTTTCGGGAAAAACTTCTGAAAATTATAATTTTGCCCCTACTACATGGAAAAAGAATGTCGTTTGCCTATCTTATTTGAAACTTCTAGCTCTGTAACTGCAATATAAGCACTTTTACATTAGTATAGTTAAAGGAAATTTCATCAATTGATTTACACCATGTCTAGTTCGCTAGACCAGTAAATTCTACCAACATGCCTAGACTTTTTGTCGGTTTAAGATGTTTCCACCGAAAAGTCGATGAAACTTTTTACCAATTATTTCATAGTTTTATCTTTGTCATCGATCAAATTAAATCACTTCCAACAAGTTCCTATCTAAAACGATGTAGAAACAATATTCTTTTAATTTAAAACCACTACCCTATTTGAAATTTGTTAGCACTGCAATTAGTTATAAAGTATCAATCGATTGATAATAAAATATTACTCATTTAGTTATAAAAGATTGCTGACTTAATTAGTGGCATGTTTATATGAAAAATAAAAATGTGATATTGTTTCAAACGACGTCTCATTAGAACTTTTATATCGTCTGTTGAAATGTAGCATCCACTACGCACATAAATAAATGTTAGCTATATATAGTAAATAAAAATAAATTTACGTTGAGTAATAACTAACTGAAAATCGTATTATTTACGTTGGACTAACCCATTAAAATAAATTTGGTTATAAGGCATTGCTTAATTTATTAGTTTCTCTATCCCAAAATTATTGTCAAATTTGATATTTCACTTTTAGCATAATTTGAAATAGATGAAAACCCAAACTGGAAAATAATTATGGGACGGAAGGAGTATAATATAGTGTATTGACTTATTCACCCCCAGAAAGATATCTCCGCGGGTAGGCTAACGGAAAATTTCACCATAATCCATAATTTTCTTTTGTTCTTTTTTTTGGGTATAACCTATGTATATTTATGGATAAACAAACTGAGTTGTACAAGAGTGATACCAATACAGCACTTTACAAAACTTCTAATCTATTACAAAAATCTCTTGAAGCGAAAAATTGTCCGTGCCTTGTATAACTTATTCACTGCATAGCATCCTTGGACTCTAATTCTATCTTCCACTTGAATGACTTGAAATATCTACTCCATTGTCATCTTTCTTCCCATAATATACGTTGGTTCTGTTTCACCAATAAGTGGTATACACAACCCATAAGTACAACCCAAAAGATTTTTCTTTTTCTTTTTTATAGCTTAGTGTGGCTCTAAATATTAACAACTTGCTTCTGCCATATTGTTTTTCATTTTTTGCAGAAAATATGGAAATTCCAGGCCATTCTTTAAGTTTCTCCAACATTGTCTTTGCAAAAGAACATTCAAAAAACATATGTTCCGATGTTTCATTTTCGTTACCACACAACACGCTAACAAGATTATTAACTGGTACGCAAATATACCGTAGGTGATCCTTGGTGTCCATATTAACTATGCCACAAATGCATGTGTCTGAATATTCTGACGTTACCATATACTTCTAGTAATATACCATTTGTTTTCTATACCAATAAGCTACTTATATCCTGTGTTTTGAAAACCGGACTGGACCGGGCGGTTGAATCGGTTCGACTGGGAATCAGAGGTCTTTCTGGTCCGGTTTGAATTAATAATCGGTAGACTTAAAAACCGGTCAAACTCGGTCACATCCGGACAAAATCGCAGTTTGATTGAGAATCGGTACCGGTTAAACCAAAATTTTGAAATTTTGAAAATTAATTATTTTTTTATAATTTTTATAGTCAGTTTTTACTGGTTTTAAAAGTCGATTTAAACCGATTAAACCAGTAAGCCAGTAAACCACTTAAATTGCCGGTTCACCTTCCGATTTTCAAAACATAACTTATATCCATCGAATACAGTGTATTTACTTTGTCCTCCAACCAACCATCTTTGACTGTGAAACCTTGCTCTAGTTTTGTCACGAATCTTCAATAGATGCTTCTAATCCCAACTATAATTTTACTACTTTGGAACATCCCAAATGTCTGTGTTTTTCAAGTAGATTTCATGGTCCATTTGATCTAAAGATAGTCTTTCTTTCGAGCCAACCACCAAATTTGTTCAAAATGGCTGAATCATTCCAAATCTTTTTATCTCGAATGTTTAAACCCCCTTTACAAACATAATCCTATCTGCAAAGAAAATATTAGTTATTTTAAAGTCTTTACATAATGGATGGAACTTGAATTAGGGATAATCAACTGCAAGCTTCATTCTTCTTGTCCGACACTCCATTATCAGGACAAAAATTTAGGGTGAAATACGATCGCCTTGTCTCATTCCACGCTCCCCAAAAAAGAATCCAGCATTCTGCCATTTAAGCTAAGTGAGTATGTTGTTGTGGTAACACATGACATAATCCATGTTGTAAACTTCTCAGGGAATCCATATACAATTATGCATTCCTTTACAGATGGCTACTCGACTGAGTAGCAATCTGTACTCAAATCTATCTTCATTATACACCTGCTGCTAATTCTTTTTCTTCGATATAGTCTGATAAATAAGTTCTTGTGTAATGAAAATATTGTGAAGAATGAGTCTATCTTTTTACAAACACCCTCTAGTTCTCGTTGATTAGGCATGGTAAGACCCTATTTATCTATTGTAAAGTACCGTAAAGATGCATTCGTACATCACAATGCAACATGCAATGAGACTGTACTGGCTGGCATCCCTTGGGTTCTCCAGTTTAGTTATCGATGCCAATGCAGCTGAGTTTATCTGTGTTAGGGTTTGTCTAGTTAAGAAGAAATTGAATAATTTTTGCGATATCTTGACCAGTTATGCTCTAGGCTACCTTATAAAAATCACTTCTAAAACCGTCTGACACTAGACTCTTATACTATAAAAACCACTTTCAAAACTGTCTAGCCCAGACTTTAATCGTGTAATTTATTTCACCAATTTCTAAGTCGTCTCAATAGACATGTCGATGCAAAAATTCTTCAAATTAATATTGTTTCAAAGATGTCATCGACTAATTTCGTAAGCCTAATTGATCAGTTTAGACTAAATTTTGAAAATTTTCTTCTACAATAGGCCAAATGCACATTTTGGTCTTATATATTAAAATTTGGCTAAATGGTCCTCTAAATTTTAGAATGTAACTTTTTTGGTCCTTTGATACTATTCATACACTTTGACCAGATTTAGTATCAAGTCAACAGGGATATTTTTGGAATAATATTTTTATTTTTAAAACTTTTTTTATATTGAATAAATATCAATATAAATATTAAAATAATTAAATTAATGAAAAAACTAAAACTTTAAATTAGATATTAAAAAATAAAACAATTTAAAATTTAATTATTAAACTTACATAAGAAATAATTTAAAAAATTGTACGTTTTTGCACAATTTATATATATACATATATATAGATATATATTAATTTGAAAGGCTTGGAATAAAGTAAAAATTTACTCTTATGACAATCTCTAACATAAGAAAAATAATTAACATAAAATCTAAGATTATAATCAAATCTAATATCTTATTTTGGATATTTTTTAACTTATGAAATTGTAGGGAACTAGATATATATATATATAGTAGAGTCCTAAAAAAAAAGACTAGTTTCTAAAATTATTTAAAATTTCATAAGATTTAGAGTTATTTTTAATAAAATATTATATTAAAAAGACTAAATTTAAAATTTTAGAATTTAGTATTTCTT